GGGGGGGGGGGGGGGGGGGGGGGGGGGGGGGGGGGGGGGGGGGGGGGGGGGGGGGGGGGGGGGGGGGGGGGGGGGGGGGGGGGGGGGGGGGGGGGGGGGGGGGGGGGGGGGGGGGGGGGGGGGGGGGGGGGGGGGGGGGGGGGGGGACATGGTGTTACCTCTCCACCACTCCTAGGTCTTGTGGCCTAAGTCAGCTACTTTGTGGCACATATGTTTGTCACTGCGTGGGCGAGAGTTGTGGGACGAATGTCAGGGCTGTCTTTTCTTTGAAAAGGTCTTTCAAGGACAATGTCACCTGTGTCGACATTATGCCCCAACCTATGTGTTGGAGGTTGGATTATGCACCCGCTATCTGGAATGGATTCTGTAAATGTGATAGAACCTAGATGGATTGATGTTCAGAATGCCTCGATGAGATGAATGACACGTGGATTAGTTCGGATTGATATGTCAGAGCAAGTTAAGATGGTCAAGCTATCCTGAGACATGGGACGACATCACGATGCATGGATTATTCAATGGGAACCTAAATGATGATGAGATGCGACGTTGCTTATGAGAGACCTTGACTTAGAGTAGAGGCAAAGTCGAGTCGAACAACTTGGCCTAGTGTAAAGGAAATTGGGAGTCCCAGACAATTGAACATGCCTGCATGAGCAGTGTATGTCTCAAAACAAGCTTAGTTCATACAAGTTGTGTTCAATTGGCAAAGACAAACCTCGCCTAAGGTTTGATGAAGCCCCAAAGTCGGGAAAAAAATATGAATGAAGCTTGAGTTTTTCTCAAAGCTGGTCATGAGCGTGTCAAAATCACAACGCCACGGTTGAAAATGTACGACTGTGACAATTGGTATTAGAGGCACACTTTGTGTGTCCAGTTAAACAAGACAGAGAACTTGAAGGTTGAATGAAAAATTGCAGGTGTGTCACGAGTGCATCAGGACTGTTACGAGTAAGAATCAAGAATAACATTGTGGGTTGAAGCCAAACTCTCTGAGGAGGAGTTTTACACGTCAGTAAATTACGAACCAAGCTCATTTTGCCAAGGGCTGGGAAGTTCAAATGGAAGACAGTGAATCATAAGATGTACCAGGTCGATGCATTAAGAAGAGTCATTCGAATAAAGAGAAATAATGCCAATGGTTGCAAGGAAAGAAGTCGGGGGTCAGATGATAGATGGGTCGGTCAAGTGCAAATGTGCATAACGCAAGTCCATTTGGGTAGGCGACATTGCTGCAAAAGAGGTAGTTGAGTTAAGTGGGGGAGTGCTCAAGAAAATGGGTTGCTCATTCTGAAGAAGCGATCCAAGAAGCGAGCACACGTGTGTTCCTTGAGCCATAGCCTAGTGCCTAAGGTGGATGAATCACATGAGTGTCAAGACCTGCTCAAGAAGAGAGTATCAGGATGGATGTGGGTGACATAGTGAAAAAACTACAACAAAACCAGAGAAGTGTCGGTACAGAATTTGCTACATGAAGGTGGTCAGTTGAGAAGTTGACTGAAGTGTAGTGCCAACACGAGGATGAATTACAAGCTTATAGACCTTGCTTTCGAAAAGGGTTGTGGCCATGACAAAGGAACATTATAGTACACATCCCCGCATTGTCACCATAAAGGGGTGTAGCCATGACGAGAGAATGTTGTGATATAGATCTCTATGCGGCTCAGAGAATACGACGGTTTGGGCCATGATGGCCACATTTAGGGTGTGTTCCCCCTAGCTCAAGCGAAAAATTTTGATGCTAGCTTTTGTCATGATTTGTCTGGTAAGTCTTGGGCTAAGTCTGAAAAGTGGGCAAAGTTAGGTCGGAGAGATAGCCCACAACCATTGAGCAAGTTGTGTTTTACAATGCTTATGTTGCGCGTCTCAGAGACTGAGAGAAGGTTCGACAGTGGGATAGTCCATAAGTAGTGTGCAAGTTTCTGTATTCATTCTAAGAGTGCGAAGAAGTTAATGGGTCAAGTAAACAACCAGTTCGATATTTAGATTTTGAGATTAAGTGGGGAAAAGTGTCACAATCGACAATACGATTGTGCCTCCGAGAAAATCATTAAGGATGATGACTAGGTTAAGTGGGCAGAGTGTTACAACTTGATAAGGAATCAATCCAAGGGAAAGCTTTGAAACAGATTACCTTGTTGATCGAATATCTCAAGGCAAGAACACTTGTTTGAGATTTGAATCAGTCCACAAGCATGATCGATCATGTCTAACTTGAATGATTCTAAACATGCAATCTAAATTAACCCTAATGATAAAGAATCACCCCAAGAGAAAGTAAAATTCAAATTACCTTGATCCATCTCAAAAACATTTGTTTGAGAATCAAATCACTCCACAGGCAAGATTGATCATGTTTAGCTTGAACGATTCTACATGTAACCTAAACTACATATGACAAAGAAACTTAGTCATTGGCAAAAGAAAACACAAATGCTTCTTTTACATACATTTTTCAAGTCTCCTCTACCATGATAACATACTGACTTTATATAGCCTCAAAACCCTTTGACCATAAATGATACATTTAAAGAGTTTGTAACATTGATATTTTATTACTATAATTAGCCACTATATATGTTCTATGAGGCTAGCCTGTAAATAAGCCTTCAAATACCTTAAATAAACACTAACTCTAAGTGATTCACCCAAAATTTATTCTTCAATGTGACATGAATTGAAACACCTCACTGAGAGAAAGTAGGTTTGACCCCCACACACTAGACAGACAAGGGGCAACCCTCAAGTGACGTCCATCCGGCCATGTGAGGGTCAAGATTGAAAAGTACCATGATACGACCGAGGAGAACAATGCATCATCCAACACACCAAGAATGTGCATTCATGAGGCATACACAAGGTTCGAAAGAACGATGCGACACAAGTGTCAAAGACAAACTCGAAGAGGGCTGGGTAGGGGTCTTAGGCCATAACCTCAGAAGTCGAAGTTTTGATATGAGTTTCGATATGCGGCTCTAGAGTTAACTCCGTCTATATGAAAGATGAAAGCTCATCAAATTTGGTGTCAATTGGATGCTTGAGGGACACTACATGAGGTCATATACCCGTAATGCCTCAAAATATACTATATGGGGGAGGCATGATGTTAGTTCTCCATCATTCCTATGTCATGTGACCTAAGCGAGCTATCTTGTAGTATATATGTGTGTTTGAGTATGGACAATAGTTGTCGGACGAGCGTCTCAAGCGTCTTCCTTTTAAAAGGATCTTTCAAGGAAAATATCGAACGACACCGGTGTGCCGACATTGCACTGAAGCCCATGTGATATGAATCAAGGCATCTCAATCATACATTTGAAAGAAGTGGTAAAGAAAGGTTGTTCAAATTATCGGATAAAGTTGAGTTGCAATCATTTTGTTGCAATAAATACAAACTTATTTTTAAATCATTATCGCCCGAAGAAAACAAAAAAACAGAGAGAATATCAGAGCAGGCAGTTGGGCAGTGGTGAGTAAGCGAAGCTTTGACGGAGGAGACGACAATGGCGAACCCTAGAAGGACCTCAATTTCGTTGTTATCTTCAAGCAATCCACAAAGCTTAGAGACTCCATTTCACATTCAATCCCATGGCCGAACTCTTTCTCTCTCGTTACGCTTCTTATTCTCGTTTCTGAAGAACTTTCTGAAGAAGCCTCACGCGTTCCCTTTCTTGCTCTCTGTTTTCCTGTTACTCACATGGATTTCTCTCAGAATCCAGCACTCTTCTTCTCAATTCTCCTCTCCTGATTCCTCCCGCTTTGAACAGAATCCTGATTCGTGGAGCAAGGACGGCGATCTCAAGGCCAACCTCGTTCGCTTCAAGTCTGGATTTCCTTCCCCGATTTCCAGGGACAAAAGGGGCTGGCTACTCGATCCTATTTCCCTTGCGCTTGATTCTGGAATTCCTGGTAATCCGATCGTCTTCGCTTTTGGTTTGAATTCATTACTGTTCTGTTTAGTTTGCGCTGAATTCGGCTTTTGGGTGCTACGTAGCCTATTATGAGTTTTTTGGCATTCCTGTTAATCCGATCATCTTCGCTTTGGGTTTGAATTCATTAGTGTTTCGTTTAGTTTGCTCTGAATTCGGCTTTTGGGTGCTACGTAGCCTATTATGAGTTTTTGGCATTCCTGGTAATCCGATCATCTTCGCTTTTGGCTTGAATTCATTAGTGTTCCGTTTGGTTTGCGCTGAATTCGGCTTGTGGGTGTCTACGTAGCCTATTATGAGTTTTCTGGGTGTTAAATTATACGCGCATCTTCATTTCTTTGAGACTGAAACTGCATGGAATTCTATCCACAGCCACTGGAAACCAAACCCAGTTATTTATTTAATCCTATAAGTGCTCCAAAATCATTTAGTTCTTCAATTCCTATTACCTGGTTTACGGCTTTGTGATTTCCGACTGAAGCCCTCGTTCATTTCAGTGATCATTTCGTTATTCTTGCAGGTGGAGCAGTGTCCTGTGCTTCTGTTCATATTGGGGAAATTCAACCTGGTGCTATGAGGGGAAACCACAGACATCATACATGTAACGAGACATTTGTCCTATGGGGGGCTACAACAAAATTCAGGGTAAGCTAAGGATTAGGAGATTGAAAACCATTTGTTTGTTTTATATTAAGCATTTTATGGATGTGACATAGAGCTGGGAACTGTTTCCTTGAATGTAAAAAGGTAAAATTCAAAATTAAATGTCTTAACGATCTTGTTTTATTTTTATAGATAATTAATTCTCTTATCCTGTTACTAATATGGATTGTTTGTATCTTTATCCACCCTATACAGTTGGAGAACAGCAAGGTAGGCGATAAGGGATATGCTGAAGTGATAATCAGTGCGGATGAGGTTGCTGTTGCAGCAAGTCCAAGAGGAACAGCCCATGCACTGATAAACATGGATCCCGTTCGGACTACATTATTTCTGGGGTGTCAAGATGGTATTATAAACTATAATAGTTCGACTTCAGATTTTAAAGTTTGGAAAGATCTTTAGTTGCAATAAGCTATCTTAATTCAGCCCCTATTTAGGTCTCGGTAAGAATATTCTTCGGCTGTTCTTCATCCCTTCTATTTCCCTTTTCCTAAAATTCGATCTCTTGTTTTTCACATTTGGAGATTTTTTTTGCTAGGTGGAGGGGATAGCATTGTATTTCAAATTTAGGAAATTTGTGATCAAGTTGTCGTGAGGTGAGATAAATTATTACATCTTTGTATACAGTATTCTTTATAATGTATGAAGTACACTAAAGTCTAAAAGCACAATGGTTCTCTGGATCTATGAAGGCTTCAATGTGATAAAGTTCATAATAAATAAAATGTATATGCACAATTATACATAATATTAGTAATTAGTATCAATCATGATATAGAGCAAATGAAAGTCGAGCATTACGTTCAACCTCTACAGTACAAAATTACATTAGAAGTCGTCATCGAAGTAGGATTTCATCCCTATTTTCTCCCATCATTAGACTTATAGCCCCTCCACATTTTCCTCTTCTAGTATCATTTTTCATGTGCCTCCACAAGTATTGGTGGGAGGGAGGAACGGAGCTTGGAGAGAGAATGTCAAATGGAGAAGATTAATCCACAGTTCTTGCCCAAGTATTTCATATATATATTTTTTTAAATGTTGTCTTTAAGCGTTCATGCTCAAGCAAGGCGAGGTGCCTTACCTGAGCCTAGGTGCACACTTTTTGAGGTTTCTCAAACAGTGTATATACATAGGATTCAGCTGTAAACTTGACAAAGCTTAAACAATTTAGTTGAGTTGAAATTCAACCTTTTTTTATTTTCTTTCTTTTTGATAAAACATTGTTATTCATAAATTGAAAAGCGTTGTAAAGAAAAGTTTGACATCTGAGTTTCTGATCGCTGAACTATATTGTGGCACATTTCTTGCAAGTTCTATTCATTTTAGCTTCACAAAGTTGAAAATAAACGTTGTAAATTCTAACATCTCTATATATTCATATTTTCAATTACTCAATGTAGTTTTCCACCTTCTTATGGCACATGAATGTGCTCATATGCTGAAATTTTATTGTTAGTGTATGCAGTTTTCTTTCTGTTGTAGATATGTTGAATCAGCCAGCTTTCTTTTTTGGGATTATATTTTTACTCAAAAGAACTCGGTAGAAGCTGTTCGGGGGGTTTATAATTTCCACGTTCGGTAGAAGCTGTATGGTAAAATTGGCATCATGTAAGTTGGCTGATAATTCCCTGGAAAAACATTAGCCTTTTTGTGGAAATTTAGGAGAATTTTGCAGATTGTGGGAAGATATGTGGGATCTTTATAGTCTTTGTTGCTTCTTGCTCCTGGAATACTCTCGCAAATTCGTTTTCTGTAATTCTTTTGCCTAGGATCTTTTTCTGCAGAGCGTCTTCCTCTTTGACCTCCCTGTAGCTTCCGACTTTTCAATGAAATGGTCTCGTTCCATACGAGGAAAACAATGTCTATTGAGCGTGATTTTGTAGTTTCTTATTTGATGATGAAAATACTTGAATAGTGAAAAGAGTTTTGGAGGCATAAGCATGACTGAATACTCTTTTTTAGCCAAGATTAGCTGTGTAAATTGAAAAGGTTCTATTATGTATGAAACTTCTTATCCTGTCATCTTGAAAGCTTTTCATTAGTTACTGATCATTCTTAGTTACTGTTCCTCTCAAAAGAGAAGTTGCCAAGTTTAGAACACCTGTTTCATTGGGACTTAACTTGTACGTATGTGAATGTGAGGATGGTTAAGCTTGAAAGCTAACTAAAGGGAGCAAGCAAGAAGGTTGCTTGTACCAGAATGCAAGTTTGGACATTGAGATATTGTTGTTTTAGCATGTTTATATAAAGAAGCTAAATTCTGAAGCCCTTCATATCGAACAAGTGTGAGAACGAAAGAGGAGAGAGATTTGTGTAACGATGGAGGCAACGAAGAGGATGGCAGTTCTGGTGGGTTGTAATTACCCTAATACCAAGTATGAGTTACATGGCTGCATAAATGATGTGATGGCCATGCGAGAGACACTGATGAACAGGTTCGGTTTTGAAGAGAGCAATATTCAGGTGCTGACCGATGAGCCAGGCTCGTTGTTGATGCCGACTGGTGCCAACATCAAATGCTCACTCGGGCGAATGGTTGGTAAGGCAAAATCAGGAGACGTGCTGTTCTTTCATTACAGTGGACATGGAACCAGAGTTCCATCCATGAAACATGGAAACTTCTCTCGGCAAGATGAGGCCATTGTGCCCTGTGACTTCAATCTCATTACAGGTTTGTCTGTGTTGTTATTTAGATTAGGAAAGTGATTCATGAAACTGCAATAATTCAGCTGAGTTTTTTGTGTTTGCAGATATCGATTTTCGTCGTCTTGTAAACCGCCTGCCTAAAGGAACGAGCTTCACCATGATTTCGGACTCGTGCCATAGCGGAGGTCTGATTGACAAGGAGAAAGAGCAGATTGGACCTTCGACCATTATCAATGACGAAAAGCTCCAACTCCGATGTACCCCGGACGCTGCAAAGGCAAAAACCATCCCCTTCCAATCAATTCTACAACACCTTTCATTGCATACCAACATCAACACAACAGACATTGGAACACACTTGCTTGAATCCTTCGGAGCAGACGCTAGTCTCAAGTTTCAGCTGGACTCGCGCGAACTCGACACGATCGACTCGCTGAAGCCCGATGCAGGGATTCTGCTGAGTGGGTGCCAAGCAAATGAGAGTTCAGCAGACATGAACCCAGATAATGCAGCGGGGAAAGCATATGGCGCATTCAGCAATGCGATCGAGAACGTGCTGAAGGAGAACCCTGCTGCACTTTCGAACAAACAGGTGGTGGTGATGGCGAGAGGAATGTTGAAGAAGCAAGGCTTGGGGCAGCAGCATCCCTGCCTGTATTGCAGCGATGAGAATGCAGAGGCAATGTTCTTGTGCCAGAACCCATGAGCTCATGCTCCGCCCATATAGCAGACCGGTGAAGAAGTGAAATGAAATAAATCAAACTCTGCTTATTTTTATTATTTTTAAACTTCAATAAAAATGGATTAATTGATCAAGTTTATATACTATAATTATAATTTTATGTCAAAGGAAACCCGAATTTTAAAATAGTATTTAATGTCCACGTTGACTAAGTTAAGAAATGAACTATAAAATGAACTTTTAGTGATCGATTGAACAAAAAGTCAAATATATAAGAGCATATTAGACCGAATTTAATGTTAAAAGGTCTAACAAAGATGTTTTAAAATTCATTACCAATTTCCAATACCGTTGATATGGTGTAATTTGAGTATAAAAAGCTGATCTTTCAATCCTGTAAACTCATTCACCTTCTTGAACTCAAACACTCGGCTCGGTAAATAAAGCGGCTGGATGAGAAGAAAGAAAAATGAGACTGAACTACTGAACGTGTAGGAGGTCTTTTTGAGCGCATCTTTTTCATATCGATCAAGCGGGTTTCGTTTCATTTTTCGGAAAGTTGGATTTTTCCGTTCTAATACTCCTCAAGTTATCATTATTTATCAAATCTGTTCCTATCTAATCTAACAGAACGCTATTGGATCCTGCCGTCCCGCTCTGAAGAATTCATGGGCCGGAGAGCCTACAGGACAAGGGGCACTACTAACCAAACCAAGCCTAGTCCTCGCTGTTAGGGGTAGCTTGCTTCAACTTATGGAATGAGTCATTCAAGTCGTTTAAGCTGTAGGATCAAGCTTTCTTTCAAACCCTCTGTTCACGTCCGTTGGTCTATAATTGATATCGAGAGATTCTTTTAGTGAGTCCCATAGATAACTTAAAAATTCAATGACTAAATTTATAATTTAATCAATATTTTTCGAATAATGAGTAAGATTTAATGGAATGACTTATCATTTAAGGATCATTATCATATCTATTACGATCAATTCAATACTCTTTTGATTTTCTCAAACAAAGAAAGTGAATTTATAATTTAATCAAAAGAAAAATACTTTGATTATTTTTAATTTAGTTTAAAAATATTTAAGTTGATAATCTAAATTTGTAATTTTTTTCCATTTTAAAAACACTTTATAAAAGAAAAATATCGAAAAAGTATATTTAAATATATTATAAAATTTTAAAAAAAAAAATTTAAGGAGGGTGGGGCCAGGGTGTTGTGGGTCCTACCACAGAATAGGCTGATGTGGCAGTCAAAAGTGAAGGAGACGACCGGGTGGCGTCCAAACCGCGTATCCACTTCCCTTCTTTTCCGATTAAAAAATTTGTTTCCCGTTCCGTTTTTTTTTTTCACCGTTACGCGGTGGGAGGAGGGCAGTATCTGCTACATCCACTACCACAGTATTAGTTTCTCAAGCTTTACGTGTCACGGTGTTGTTTGTTCTTCTTTCCACGTGGCAGTAAAATGAACAAGATTTCTCTGATTTGGATCGTACGTGATTCCGTCCGGATGGCCTTCCTTTCCCTTTTTTTTCAGTGCCTTTCTATGTTATTTTACCGTTTTATCCCTCTTGAGTTGGCCTTTATATGTTGCAAATTCCAATTTCGTTTTTGGGACCTCGAAATACCTCAAATGCCCTTGATTGTTTCCTTTTTTCCCCTTTTTGTATAACTTAAAATAAATTATAAGGTTCGTATTTACAACACCCGAGTTTAGTTATCAACACGAACGTTTTCATAATTATATCAAGTGAGATCGTTACTATTATTATTTGAGCTTATATTAATATATTTTAATATAAATATTTAAGTTTTAAAAGAGATGGGTCTTTCCTTTAAAGATTCCTTCGAGCTATTTCAATCTTAACATTATAAATTCCTCAAATACCCTCCACTTTTCATCTTTTAACTCCATTTTATTTTGTTTTTTTAATATGGAGGCAAATAATTAAATTATTGTTTAATATAGTTAAAAGATGTTTTGTTTTAGAGAAGTAACCCAATATAATGTGTTTTTTAATTTAGATTTTGAATAAAATAACTATATTTTTCATTTCCCGTAACATAGATATGGAGGTTAAGTTGATTAGTAAGTTTTTGTTTAACCATTCAGATAGATACCGAATCTCTTTTACGTGGAACTTGAAATAGAGGTGGGGATGATAATATTATAAATATTTAGACAAATAAAGGAGGAAAATAAAAGAAATAATAAAAACCCAAATAATAAAGAGCTATTTATTTATTTATTTATTTATTTCTGTTTTGCTCAAGAAGGGCATTATGGTAAATTTGCAAACAAAATGACTAGGAAAAGAAAAGGTGAAAATGGAAATGGTAATTATGGAAAAAGAAGAAGGGTAAATGGGTAAAATTGGAAGGAAAAAAGTCCCTATTCAGAGCATTTAAAGAAGAGGTGGAGCGCTCGTATAAAAGTCAAGCCAATTCTCATTATTCCTTGCAACAACTACGAACAAAAAACGGATAAAAAACCCTCTTCTTCTTCTTCTTCTTCTTCTTCTTCTTCTTCTTCTCCGGCCGGTAGATTCCTTCTCTCTCTCTCTCTCTCTCTCTCTCTAACTTTCTCTCTATAGGTTGCATAGTTTTAGCATATTTCTTCTGGATGATTTGCTTGTAGAAAAGGACTACTTCATTCGATTATCTTCTCGAGTGAACAGCAATGGCGGATCAGCTAACGGATGATCAGATCTCTGAGTTCAAGGAGGCCTTCAGCTTGTTCGACAAGGACGGCGACGGTTCGTTATATTTCTATTCTCTTTTCTTATGATTCTGCATTGCTTTCTTTCTCATGTTCTCGTCAGTCAGTGTGCCGGATATCTGGTTTCCGTTTCTTCGTCTGGCTTAACTCTGTTTTCCGTTAGATTTTTCTCCTTTCTCTATGTTTATCTGTTATTTATACCGATTTTTTTTGTTGTTCATTTCCGGTTTTCTTTATCGCTTTTGTTGTGATTCGGTTCGGTTGATCGAGGATTAGGATTGGCTTCATTAATGTTGTTCGTTCGTGTCGGATCTCTGCATCCTTAAGCGATTCATCCTTAAGCGATTCAAGTTTGATTTATAGTTTTGTATGAGCTCGTGAACTCGTGGAATCTCTGTTTTCCAGTGAAATGATTCTGGATTCTGAGTGAACATTTAAATTACGCTGGATGCCAATTAATCCACGAGGATATCACGAATTCAGTTCACTCATTTTTCTTTGCCTTTATATCGATCTTACAGGCTGTATCACAACCAAGGAGCTTGGTACTGTTATGAGGTCGCTAGGTCAGAATCCAACGGAGGCGGAGCTTCAGGACATGATCAATGAGGTCGATGCTGATGGCAATGGAACAATCGACTTCCCAGAGTTCCTAAATCTCATGGCTAGGAAGATGAAGGATACCGACTCGGAGGATGAGTTGAAAGAGGCATTCCGTGTGTTCGATAAAGATCAGAATGGCTTCATCTCCGCTGCTGAGCTGCGCCATGTGATGACCAATCTCGGCGAGAAACTGACCGAGGAGGAGGTGGATGAGATGATAAGAGAAGCCGATGTGGATGGCGATGGCCAGATTAACTACGACGAATTTGTCAAGGTCATGATGGCCAAGTGAAAGTCATCATCCTTCCACTATCACCAATCCAAAAACAAATTAGCAAAAATAGGGAGGGCTGGTTAACTTTATAATTGGATCCTCCGGGTTTGCCGTTTGAGTTTAAATCCAAATCTATGATAGAAAATAGTGTCTGCTCTCTGTTTGTTACGTTTTCAGTTTGAATGTATCATCATATCATGTGACTAAGAAAATGTGTCTTCGCTGTCTTCGCTGTTCTTTCTTTCTTTTTCTTTTTCTCGTCTCTCTGTAGGGTTTAATTTTTGTGCATTATTACATCATTTGGATTAAGGCTGGTTGCTTTTTTATTTCTATAAATTACTTCTTAAATTCGAAGGCTACTTTTAGTTTTTGGATGATCCAATTAATTATCCACCTCTCAAGAAAGATGTTTTAATGAAGACAATTCAAACTATGCATACTTCTCTAGACCATAGAAATTATGCAACATTTTCTTATCTTTTCTTCTTTGAAAATTAAATAGAAATATCCAAAAGGAAAAGAAAATGTTGAAGCAAGAGTAAACTCCATCAGTGATTCGATCAATGAAAGTGTGTTCCTTACAAGTTGCACAACACTCTTCTAACTCTCAGTTCTCAATTCTTTCTTCTAAGCACCCTGCACCAACCTTAAGAGCTTGCATTAATTGCCAATTTCATTCATTCAATTGATCATCACAATCTCTTCAAGCTCTTCTTTCTTGCATCTATCTTCTTCTTGTCAGCCTGCATTTTTAAGGGTCCAGCAGCTTCCTTCTTCACCACTGCTGCCGGTGCAGCCACCCCGGAGCCCCCGACCCCTAATTCTGAGGCTGCTGCCGGTGCTGTAACATTCGGCTGCTGCTGCTCCTGCCCACCTCTCACTGCAGTATTAGATTGGGCGGTTGGGCATGCCAATGGGAGTGCAGCAGCAGATGAGTTTTTGAGATCTGTAGTGAGGGCTGATGCATTTGATGGGTCGACATTGAGGGCTGTTGTGGACTCGGAGATGGCTCGGGTTTTGAACTTTGGTTTTGGCTTTGCATGGATTCCTGTATAGAGCCTGCAAGCAAAGCAACAGAAAACTTAGCTACATGTTTGCTTATTCATCATTATTGGATGAAGTTCCAATTTACTAGAAAATTAAATTCTTCATAGAATAAAGCATTGGAGATGAAGAAGCAAACATGGATGCAGGTGAATCGGGATGGCTTTTGATAACCATTTAGTTTCGAGTTTTCGGAAACTAGATGTTATAAATACTACTTCTACTTCTAAGTTTCTTTGTTTTGTTTTCCACTTTCTATCCATATTTCAAAAGGTAAAAACTATATTAAGAAATTGAGAACGAACCAACTAAAAAACAAAATCGTTATCAAAGGAGTCGAAGCATTTCTAGCATGTTCCTCAGAGTTTCTAAATAATGAAACAATGTTTTAGTCGTACAACCTAACATTATGAATACTTCGAGAAAGGACTTTTAACAGTTTCAAAAGTCAACCAAAATCACTCCTAGTTTGAATAGTGATTTTTGGGTTCGTG